TACGGCAAATTGATCAAATATGCATATTAAACATACAATAATTTGTCGCTCTTATATGTATAACGTCACACATAGTGACTACGGTCAGTTAGCCGCGCGTTCAATATTTACATTTAACGATATCAACAAATCATAGTGCTGTTTGCGTAATTGAATGCTGAAAACTGCTAATCCGTTTGCATTAATTAATTGATTGAAATCCGAAGGATCATCTGTATTTATGTAAACAATAAACAATCGCAATGCGATACTCGCGAATGCATTAAAATATTAAAATTTCTATTGTAATGAACATAACGACTGTGTAACTGACGATGCAAAGTCATTCTTTCCGTTGATCATACAACGAAGAAGCGGTCAGAAAAAGTTTTGTTTCATCGGGTTTTGTTCGATTGCGGCGAAACGAGGATACCGCGCCGGCCTCGACATACGCAAGGATGCGCTCTCCTCGAGGACTGCGTTTGTTAGAACGTGATGCAAGAGCGTGCAAGTAATCCGCGATAATGAACTCTAAAAACAAACGTTAAATTCACGTTCAAGACAAAGAGCCGTCACGCGCTTGACGTCTTCTTCGCGCTCGCGCTCGCGCTCAAGTACTCAATTTGCCAATACTTTTCTCTCTTCCGACGGTGAAAATCACTTACGGCGGAACCATAAGCGGGAGGAAGAAACCCGACGGGTAATACGTGTCCGTACTAATAATAGGTCCTTTCGCTTAAGTACAGGGTAGCTCGTATACTAATAATTATCGTCGTGCGCACCGCGTATGGTAGCGCCTCGGTTATGTTTATCGATAACGTTTATTTCTTTTTTTTTTCAGCTCTATTTCACTGACCGATAATGAGCCGGGCAATGAAACGGGATTTCTTAATTTCGGAATTACCCAGAGATAGTCGCGAGAAGCGTTATTCGCGCTCGCGATCGTTATCGTCTCGCATCGCGTGAGGCGTCATATCTGCCACGCGACATCTTTCCGAGCGTATCGCGCAAATTTCAAATCTTTTGTTGCGTTAATTAAAATTGTGCGCGCAATAAAGCAAATTAATTTGCGTACCTGACAAATCTCCGTGCTTGCTGAAACGAGGAGTATTTTTACATAAACAGGAAAAAACATGTTCAAATCGCCGCGTAACGCCAGCACAAAAGAAATCTCTCTCTCTCTCTCTCCATTTCGAAATTATATTTTGATTACGAATTTTTATAATGTGAAAATTCTGTTTCCTTTTTTCTCTCTCTCTCTTTCTCTCTAATTGAAAAAACTCCGAGGCAATCAGACCGAATCAGCTCTTGCTCGCGTGTTTCTCAGCGACTTTCTGCTTCTCGAACGATCAACTTTCTCACTGCGCGTTATTTTGCCGCTCCGCTCGCTTTATTTTAACCTCGGAATTACAATTTCTCGAATCGCGGGAAGGTTCGCATGTCCATCGGGAACATTCGTAAAGATCCCTTTTATCGATCGTAACCGAAGTGGTTGTTCTCGTTGACGTCGCGATCGTGGGAGAAGCGCGCGAAACACTTTCTCTAAATGTAACCCCCTAAAACTCGCAGTTCTCCGACGCGGGGCCGGAGAGGAATGTATAATTACGGGGCATAAAAGTAACTATCGCCTACTCTTCGAAGGTATTATTCTTTCAGGACTGCGCCCGCGCACAGCGTTTTTCGGGGGTCGTCGCACCCACGACTCGCAGGATTCCCATCGATCTCTCTCTCGCTCGGCTCGGGATGTTTGGCAGTTTTTTTCCTTCAAACGGCGACGATTACGGCGCCGAGGAAGAGCGCGCGTCTCGGTTTCGACCGTTGTAAAACCCGGCCGTAAGTATACGCTGCGTGACGGCGCGTCGGGGGTGGACATTGCTTGAAAAAGTCAAGAGAAAAAGAGTTTCGAGGATTTCGACGTGACTCGGGAAGAAGCGAGGGGAGAAGCTTTGGTTCTTCCCGATCGTTTACAAGAGCGGCAATCTGCGAAACGCAATTGTGACTGCTCGCGGGCGTCCTTTGCACCTTTTTCAGACGCGCGATTAACGGATCTTCTCCGCGCTCGCAACGCGGTTTGTGCGAGCGTGCGAATCGCTCGCAGTATTTGTTTATTATCTCAATTGCGATGTACGTATTCTTTTTTTTTTACCGTGAATTAGTTGAAGGATTTTACGCGACAATTTCGCATTTCGTCGTTATAATAAGATATAAGATATTCGCGCGATATTAAATAAGATTCGAAATCGCGGCTTACGTCAACGCGCGATATAATCCGCTCTATAATTATTCGACGTTTGTCGAAACTGGAACAACTCGGTGTCGGCGACGCGCAATCCCGAATCAGATGCGGGATATGCACGAAACACACCATCTGTCATATCGGATTGTTAACTCGGTTATATAGCTCACGCATATCAAATCGTTCAGGGCTTAGCTTAGCTCGGAACGGGCAGCGCGGTAATGCGATTTGGATATATAGAGAGTCCTGTGGGATATTAGCGGCGTGGAACCTTTTCCCCGGAGAATACGATAAACGATATGCATATGTAAATATCAGCGATCACGCGCATTGCAAATCGACCTGACGCACGAAATAAACGTCTCGCGGAACACATTTATACATATATATACATATATGTGTGTGATGTCTTGTTGGAATTTTCTTCGAGAATGTCTTATGTGCGAGAAAATGCGTTGCGTGAAATTCGACTCTTGTTGCAATAATTTTACACGCATTTTAATTTATGCCGCGACATATTGATAATTAAAAATAATTATAATTCGATATTTGATGCTTTCGTGTATTATAAGAACTCCTGAAGATGATTCTCGGGTTTGAATCGCGTTAGTGTCACTTTTTATAACGACGTTTCGTGGACATTTCAGCTCGCTTTATCAGTGTTTTAAGAAGCAACTTGATCAGTATCAGGTGAAACGTCCACGAAATGTTGATATAAAAATGACACACCAGTGCAGTTCAAATCCAAAAAACATGTCTCTTTACAGAAAAATAATTATATTTAAAAATAAGAAAAACAATTACATCTCGCGCGCAGAGCGCTTGCTTGCGTTCGTTTAATCGAACGCAAAAATAATATGCCGGTCGACGCGAGAAGAAAACCAAACGCTCCTAATTTTTCCCTTACTATCTCATCGACGATTCCAGAATGATCCCGTTAACAGGATCAAGACTCGCTCTAGACGAAGGGTTCTTGTTATTCGCAATCGTCTCCTCGAGGGATTTACCGATCCCTCGTATTTATTCCCCGCTACGAGATGAAAATCGTTGCGAAGAGCGAAATGTTCGTTTCTTCGCGCGGTATACAAAAGAAATTGTTTACTTTCGCTTCAATGTTGTGAAAAAAAAAAGAAATAAAATTGTGTCGCGATCATGAGACAACGCATGTTAGAGGATTTTGAGAAACGTGTGATTTCCATTAGCAATTGTCATTCTTAACGCTTCTGCGAAGTTTACAAATTTCACAAGATATGCGTCAACGATGAATTGTCAAAATTGTCAAAGCCGAATTGTTTCACGATTCGCTTGTCTCTCTTCCTCTCTCTCTCTACGCGAAGAGAGACCATGTCGTGGAAACTTCCGCCTCTTTATCTCGAGCGCGCTTCTATCGTCAGACTAATGATTTGCAAACAGTGTCTTTCAGCTCGTTCCTCTCGTTACAAAGTTTTCGCCGGGCATGTCGTATGTGAACAAGGCAGACTTCTTGAGAGTTTTGAAAAGACAAAAGCGAAGTCCCTCTCTCTGTCTCTTTACAGCCGTCACAGAGAATATGCAAAATTGTATTCTTATGTTACATAATAAAGCAAGCAAAAAGTTTTTGAAATTATCTCAGTACATATTCGTCGGAATATTGCTGATGACGCGTTAATTCATTACTGACGTGTTTCGTTAAACGGATATTGTTTATACATTTTTCCGATATTATTATTTTCTTCTTTATTACGAAATTACGCCGTGTACGTATAATGGCGCCATCTGTTGAGAGAATAAATCATCGTTTGCGCAGAGAGAGGAAACGTGGTTCTTTTTCGCAGAGAAAATGTATTGTACCATATTAAGGTCAAGAACAGATAAAATGCTATTTGATACGAAAAGAGATATATTCCTTTTCATTCACGATAAGAGAATGTTTGATCTCGCTATTACTGAATATCACGCGATACGCATTGTCAGCAAATTTATTCTAATTCCAAGTTAGCGAACTATTCCAAATGTAATCTGTACGTTATGTACTTAAGTTTTTATAATTATTTTTGGTTTTTTGATATTTGGTTTTTTAAGTGTCGCAATTCGGAAAAAGTAAAATCAACTCGGAGGATAATGTGTAAAATTTTATTTAAGTGAATTTTATTTTATGTAATTTTATTTAAGTATATTTGTCTGTGTATTTTATAAAATTATTTATAAAAATGTGTGCGATATAACGCGCTTTATATACTGTTTATATTTTTTTATATTGCACATATTATCAGGACTTTGATTCCTGAATAAAATCTTGAAGCAAATCCGTTAATCTTTAGAGATTCGCTATGTTATCAGAGGATTAATCGTTATTTCTGTTGTAATTATGTTGTAATTTTTTATTAAACAATGTATAATAAATATGCTATAAAATTTCCAAAGACACATTAATGTGTTTACATTCCATTGTGCTGTAATAAATTCCTTGTAAATCTAATAGTTTAGTAAAAACACGGTAGCGCTCTAGGCCTACTTATTGTTATCATAAAATGCGTGAGATATAGTAACCGATAAGCCTGACTTTAAGATATTCTCTATGAACTAGATAGTGACGTATTTTCCAATTCTTCTGAAAAAATGTTAATTAATAAAAAAAAAAACACGTGAGCTTAATCGAAACGCTATCGTTTTTATCAATAAAATGTGCAATATCACGCAGAAGCGTCACTAGCATGTGATTTATTTCTTTTGTCGTAACTATCTCGAGAAACTTATATATATAAAGGTTTGAATGCATCTTCGCTTCACTTGTGTGTCATCGAGAAATCTGCCATCAAAGATGCGCGCGTTTGCTTGTCTTGTTCTCATCGCTTTGGCGTGCGCCGTCCAAGGTATTTCAAATTTGTCAATGAATCTTACGACTTATACTAAACTTATTTGTTCAGATGTAAAATTTCTAAAAAGTATTGTACATCATTTAAATTTATATTGTTTACAGTAAAAATGTACGTGTGCGATATAAAATTTATTTCGCGCTATTTTAAACAATTTTTGTTTTTAATCTAAGGCGCTCCGTATCCTCGTATCGTCGGCGGCAAAGATGCTCCCATCGGCAAATAACCGTATCAGATATCGTTAAGATTTCTCGGCTCGCACATATGCGGCGGATCCATACTAGATACTCGTAACGTATTAACTGCAGCGCATTACGTAGATGGGTACGTTTTAAATATTTAAATTTATTTTAATATCAGTTAAAATTTAATAAATAAACATTCCAATTTAGTTACAGTTTAATGAATTTAAATTATCTAATACATGTATTCGACACATTTATGTATTTTAACATACGTTCTTTAAACATTATTTTCACTAAAAACAAAATCCACTTTCGGTTTTTACAATTTATTCCTTAGCTTCTTCTTAAATGCTTATAATCTTTTAATGATATTTTAGAAGGAGCAGCTATCCCGAATATTTCTCAGTTCATGCTGGCACGAACTTTCTAAATGAAACGGGAGACGAGTATAAAGTAGAAAATATGAGCATCCATCCGAAGTACGATAGTTATCTCATCAGGAATGACGTTGCTGTGCTTCATCTCAAGAAACCTATCAAATACAGCGACAAGGTGAAGGCAATATCACTTTCGAGAAATGACACAGGTCGTGAAAACAGATCCTGCACGTTATCCGGATGGGGAACCACTAGGGTAATGTCAAATTTACAAAACTTTTTAAACTTCACACATCAACTTTCAAGAACAACTCTCTCTTTATATCACCAAAAAACATAAAGAACTTTTTATGATAAATGTCGGGTGAATATTCTTACATCACATTGTTTATATTTTTAGTAGCTTGGTGGCAACGTTCCGAACAAGAAATTGATTTGATAGTTTATCCTCAAGACAAATGCAAAGACGCACAGTGTCATAATTGCACCTTTACCAAAGCGGGACAAGGAGCGTGTCATGTACGTGAATCCTATTGGTGTCGTTGTTAATCACGCACACAAGATGTGTGATTTAATATCTAATGTGTTATTAAAAAAAATTGTATTCAGGGCGATTCTGGCGGACCATTGGTGGCCAACGGCACTCAAATTGGAATCGTTTCCTTCGGTACACCTTGCGCGCGTGGATATCCGAACGTGTACACGAGAGTGTTCAGTTACGAAAATTGAATCAACGCGCATCTTATAAAATAAAGGACTATTTATTCTTATATCAAATCTCAATCTTATATAAAGGACTATTTATTCCTATATCAAAGTCACTTCAATGTGTATTTACGAAACAATGTTCAATAAATATCGTGTAAATATCGCGATAGAGTAATTAGTTTTTTTTTCTTTCAACTTTTTCCAATATCTTCATTCCCAACAAATGTCACTGATATTTACAATAGCTGATAGTATGTGATCGATATATTATCGCACAAAAATAAAATATCGTCCGTCCACAGACTGCAAGTAAGTGCTTGTTTATGTATATTTCGATAAGAAACAGAAACTTGAAAATAAAAGAATTCGCAAAATGTCAAAAAAAAAGAAAAAAAACAGTAGCAAAAAAAGAATAAAAGTGTCAAACGGATTAATCGCCACTGAGTAAATAAAAACCTAAACAGATTTTTTTGCAAGGTGTTTAAAAATGAAGAATTGCAGAAACTTATACATGAAAATCCACACTTAACAAACAATGAACTTGCTAGGGTATTTAATGTTACTACAAAAACTGTTTATAACCAACGAAAAACTACAAAAAAAAAAAAAAAACTGGTCAATGTGACTAGGTAAATACGTTGCAATACTTGCGTTTCACTCTTGTCACGATACAATAAGCAGAAGCACTTTTTGAATCAAATTGTGACTGCAGGTGAAATATCAATATTTTACGATACGTCTGATCAAATAGGAGCAAGTACTGAAAACAAAGTTAAGTTCTGCATTTGGTGGGATATTAAAGGTGTTCTATACTACGAACTGCTACAATTACATGAAGGTGATATCGGCTGCTATTCACAATTAGAGAAAGTAAACGACCGCAAATAGCGAACAAACGACTTAAGGTGATTCTGTTGCACACATATTTTGCTCAACTAACTATCCTGAAGTCCGTGAAAAAACAGATATTGAATTTTAGATGGGAAGTCTTACCTCAACCTGCACATTTTCTTGACAGTGCTCTATTTGTATGTTACTTAGTTCAACGACTGCAGTGTTTCTAATTTGGAGATACGTGACAATAAAGTTTAGAAGTGAGAAATTCACGTTTACAGAAACGTTATTATTATTCCAATAAGAAGAAAGGTAGAAGCAATGACGAGCTGTATACCTGATGTTCAAGTAAAATTCTTTATTCAGAGAGAGGAAGATTTGATGTTTCGATCCATTATGGGATCTTCAGTGTCTATGCACACTATTCCAAAAAAGGTCTTATTCCAAGAGAATTGACTAAAATCACGTGACTGTAGTCACGTCAAATCAAAATACGTCCGCTGAATGCTTAACAAAAGATATCGTTAAAATTTGGTTCGTTGAGTCGTTGCTTAACGATCCGCTAAAAAATGTCTTGCTAGACCAGGTAAGTAAGTAGAGCACGAGGGTTGGTCCTCTTGTGGCAGCCGGAGTTTGCAGTCATCGCGGAGGAACTCCGTAGTGTGGTGCGTCGCATCGCTGAACGAAAGACGGCCCCCGGTATGGATGGCCTAACGTGCGCTGTATGGACCCGCGTGACTGGGTTGGCACTGCAGCGCCTGGCACGCTGCTACACTCGGTGCCTGCAGGAAGAGGTCTTTCCACGCGCCTGGAAACAAGCACGACTGGCATTGGTCCCCAAAATTGCCCGCCCCGGAAGCGCCCCCTCGTCGTTCAGACCGTTGTGTCTTTTGGATGAGGTGGGTAAGCTCTTCGAGCGAGTTTTGGTGGGTAGGCTGGAGGCCTGGTTTGAGGAGGGAGGTGGATTATCGCCCAGGCAATTTGGCTTCCGACCGGCGCTCTCCACGTGCGACGCGGTGCTGCGCGTTCGGAAGATCGTCGAGGGCCACACCTCGCGGGGAAGGGCCTGCGTTGCGGTTAGCCTCGACATCCGGAACGCGTTTAACACCTTATCGTGGCCGACCATCCGGGCGGCTCTGCGGGGTTGGAATCTTTTGACCTACCTGCAAGCCGTCCTGGATGATTACTTCTCGGACAGGTATGTAATGTACCCGTGTCGGGACGGGAAGTTAAGGTCCCACAGGTCAGCTGTGGAGTACCCCAAGGGTCCGTTCTGGGGCCTTTACTGTGGGACGTCGGCTACGACGCCGTTCTGGATGTCAAGCTACCGCCGCTGTGCAGCGTGGTCTGTTATGCCGACGACACTGGTGTTAGCGGCAGGCACAAATGGTAAGGAAGCAGCGCTCCGTGCCAGCGAGTCTGTTGCTAAAGTGTCTCATCACATAGCAACGCTAGAACTGGAGTTGGCCATCCACAAGACGGAGGCATTAGTCTTTCGCTCTCCGGGTAGCAAGCAGGCGGCCCTGTGGACGTCAAAGTGGGGGATGTCCAAGTCAGGACACAACCCAGCATCGAATACTTAGGCCTGATGCTGGATGAACGGTGGACGTTTGCGACTCACTTTGGTTACGCCGCAGACAAAGCCCGCAAAGTGGCTGCGACGCTGGGAAGACTTCTCCCAAATATCGGCGGACCAAGTGAGCACATGAGAAGGCTTTACTCAGCCGTCGTGCACTCTGTACTAATGAACGGTGCTCCAGTGTGGCACGACAAGCTGAGGGGCCGGGCTGCGGCACCGTTCGCAAGTGTGCAGCGCATGGCTGCATCTCGCACAGCCCGGGCATACCGGACTGTGGCCCTGGAGGCAGTTCGGGTGTTGGCCAGCGTTCCCCCGGTGGAGCTGCTGGCGAAGCAGCAAGCGGAAGTTTTTCGGGGGGTCCGGGAACTACGGACGCAAGGCGCGGCGGTGCCGCCAGACGCGGAAAACGTCCTTCGCCTCCACGCGCGACAGAAGCTCGTCCGACAATGGAAGGAGCGTCTCGACGAAGCTCCATACGCCAAGAGGGTCCTCGAGGCTGTTCGGCCTGTGCTGGATCAGTGGCTCGAGAGGCCACACGGGAGGTTGACCTTCCACCTGACGCAGATACTGTCCGGACACGGTGTGTTCGGGTCTTTTCTGTTCAGGATCGGAAAGGTCCACTCCCCGGTGTGCGAACACTGCGGGAAGGCTCTCGACACGGCCCAGCACACGCTGGCCAAATGTCCCAGGTGGGACATAGAAAGAGCTGCTCTCACAGCGGCCATAGGACATGATCTGTCCCTTCCTGCCGTGGCGAGGCAGATGCCCCGGGACAGAGACAGATGGCAGGCTGTGGAGAGTTTCTCCACGTCCGTCATGTCAGTCAAGGAAAACGTCGAGAGGGCCCGGAAGGGCAAACTGACTCGAAGAGCTCGGAGAAAACAAAAAAAAAAAAAAGAAAAGTGAGTTTGAATGTGCGAGTTAGCGACTGACAGTCTGTGCGCGCGTATGTGTGTGTCCGCAGTACAAACGATGCGTGTTTGGAGCTTTATGCTGTGTGTGTGTTTTTTTTTTTTTTTATGCTTGAGTGTATGCGAATGTGTGAGAAAAAGTGCGAAAGTTGTGTAAATGGAGTGTGTGTGTGACAGCTGGATGTTTGTTTGGCGTACGAGAGATAGATTACGACTGAGTGCGTGTATGAAACGTGTAAATCGTCACTCCCTACGTATAATTACATAAGTGTTACATACGGGATTTTCAGTTTATTGCATAGTGATACTTAGAAAGTCATGTTCTTTATGGTCACCAAATATTTAAAACAAATATTCATAAGTAAAGTAAAAATTTAAAACCGAAAGATCCCTTAACTAGGGAAACTATATGAAACTTTAAACTTTTAAGCTGTTCTTCTCTAAAATTTGCGTTTTGGAATTACAGGATTACACGGAGTGACAATATATTGAAAAATCAGTGCGACTACTACTCATGCAGAATAATTTTTTTTTCTCAAAAATTTTCATGCTAGAGATATGAAACAATCGATTATTTAATTTTAAATTATTATTTTTCCTTTATATATGCTCAAATTCTATATCTAGGTATACATAATAATTTTATATGAGATTGAAAAGATCTCATATATCATTGTATCTAATTAAACATCATCAGATATA